AAGTGTGTGGTGTGTTATGCACCAAGATTTTATCATTCTATACTCAAAAATGACACAATATTTTAACCTGCTCATTTTCAACTCCTTTTTAAACTATGTGTCCCCATTCATTTTTCACTACTGGCAAATGATCATTTTTACAGTGTTAATAATTATGTTATTATAATAGTCAACATAATTGACAATATTAATTATTACATACAGTAACAGCATTATTATAATTAAATTATTACAATCATGTTATAATTAAATTATGACACACAATAATAGCATTATTATAATTACCATTATTATTATTCATGGCTAATCTACAGTTAAGAGTCACAAACTAAAACTGGTAGAAACTTAATAATTCAAAAATTGACCAAGGATCTAAGACACAGGTGTCAAACTTGCAACGTCATGTTGCTGTTATGTGACATATCAAATGACTCCCCACCCCCTTTGTGGACCTGGGATGGGCATAGTCTGTGCTTGACGCATCTGACTGCAGGCCGCCAGTTTGACACCCCTGATCTAAGAATTATTTAGTAGCATCTAAGAATATACTCAGTTCTAATAAGGGTGGGTGTTTGTAAAATTAGAATGTTCAAATTTGATAAATTCAATACTTTCAAATATTTAGAGAGTCCTTTGGATATTGCTCCAAGGGCTGATTTGAACAGATTTCTTTTTCCATAGATGTTTATTTCAGTTCAGTTATTCAGTTATTATTTTTATTATTATGGTTGGTCAGCCAGATATTCAGACTGGATTTGGCATTTTTAATCCACCTATTGAATCCTTCTTAAGTATCTGGAACAGAGAGATGCTTGATGATATTTATTATTATTGTTTCAGTCTTCTTCATCAGTATTAACTTAATGCCAGAGTATTTCTAATACCATCCAAAATATTTAGAAAACAAGCTGATTTATACCAAAAAAGCTACAGGTCCATCTAGTGGACATTAACTGCTTTTAAACTCAGAGATATACCTAAACTGCAACTCCCAGGATTCCACATGACTGATCAGGCTAGCTCAACTATCCCTTAAACCTCATAACAATATGGCTGAATTGCATATATTTAATTCTTTTGATGGGATATTATTGCATTTTATTTATATTACAGGCATAAGAAAATATTTGCCATACAGACACAAAGGCAATTAATCAAATTGCAATTATTAAGAGAGTTTCTTGCAGGAATTTTTGAAAGATTTTGAGAAAATCTTCCATTTTGATCGGGACTATTTTAAAAAAAAATCCTAAACTTTACTTTAAAAAAATAAGGACTGAAATTAAAAGTAAATCTAGGGTTTTTTTTAAAAAAATATTCTGACCAAAATACAAGATTGGGGTGACAATCTTGTGCACAGTTGCTTGGAGCTGAGATAGTAGAACTTAATCTGAATCAAAAGAAAGCCATGAGAGTTCTATTCTACCTAAAATGAAAATTGTGGAAGAGAAATATATTCCTATAGAGCCACCTGTTGAGTGAAAGAGATGTTACTGCTGGGACTTAATGGTGTAGTGTTCTCTTTTGTTCTAACAGAGGCTTACTTTTTCTTGTACTCAATTGCTGCTCTGAATGACAATAGCATTGTAATAATTTTTTGACTTTTGACTTTAAAAAATGTCCTATCTTGTTATGCTAGATGTTCACCCACATTCCAGGGCAGGAATTCTCAGACCATCCCAGATGAATAGCTGTCCCACTCAAGGATTCCTTTTGTACAGAAGATATTTGCTATAGACTCCTTCTCAGTCTAATCCAAGGCTCCAACTCCCCTGGGCCAAGACTGGTGCCAATTTGCAGCTCATTGGGAACCGGTCTGCACAAGCAAGCAAAGCTTCATCTGCACATGCACAAGGATCTAAGTAGTGTGTGAAATTGTCCCTTGCCCCAGCCCCAGTCCATGGAAAATTATTTTTCTCTCAGAATCAGTCTCTGATGCCCAAAAGTTAGAGACCACTGGTCTAATCTATAGCCTTGGTATGTCCTGATCATTTGCCATAGGATTACTAATCAAGTTCAATCCTGCTTGGCTCCCTTGAGATCAGGTAAGGTCATCACTTTTGCCAAATAGAAATAAACTGTCTGTATTTATGCAAGCTTGACAAACACTGCCCACTCAGTACCTAACCTTCCCATTTGCATACAACTGAAGCCTCCTCACACCTTTGAAATACTGCTTTAATCGGGGTTTCTGACAGTATGGACATTTTATGCAGTCAGTCACAAGTAGGAGATCCATTCAACAATAGTCTCAGACTAAAGCAAGTTGGTGATTCTACAGAGACATTCACTTATCTGCCTAAATTCTTCTAAAACGCCCACATACAAGATCATAGCATTCCCCTGCGGATTTGTTCTGCCTGTGAACAACTTGCACTATATCTAAGCATGGAAGGTTCCGTGTTCAATTTGATTGCACATCTATTAGTTACTGATATAATTATCTTTCACAATTTTGGCACCTCTGGGTGAGAAAAATGGAGAATTGGATGTCTCCCAGTGAGCAAGCTCAACTAACAGAAGCTCTCTGGACAAGGAGAGAGCTCCTTATGAGAAGACCATAGGATAGTGCTTCTCCTACAGATCTGAGCATTGGGGGATGAGGGAATCCATCAAGTTTTTAATCATGGGGCAGACTTTAAGGACACTACATTTGCCCAACGTTACTTTCTAATCACTTTTGGATTTATAATTATTTATCATTGCTTTAATTAAGTTAAAAGAGGTCTTCCAAACCAAAAGTCTAAAAATCTGCCTGGTAAATAAAACTTTGTCCGGACAAAAAAAAAACCGTTTCAACTTAAAGAATGTAAGGACATAAAATAAAAAGGGGAACAAGTTAAAAAAAGATTTAAACAGATTCAGAATATTACCGACTTTTGTTAAGAGCTTTTTGAGACTGACTAAATGAAACAAAACATTTTCATAGGAATGTGAATAATTTAATCTATAAGGAAAAAATTGATGGGATACAAATAAATAAATAAAAGTACAGCAAAACTTGCAAGATAAAGGAAAGATGCTTAAGACATTTCAAATGCTCTTGGAAGAACTGGGAAGAAACTTATAACTACGTTCTCAGCAATAATTTCTGCACTTGCTGGTGTATTTCTTGAACATTTTAAAGAAGTTAAACGTTTTAATGATGTGGAAGAGGAAATCTCAAATGAGAGAAATATTGGAAAATGAGAAAACTATGGATTATAAAATTGTTATTACATCCTGCAGATTCGTGATTGGACAAATAGGGGTGGGTATGAGAAAAGGTGAATTATGTATTTAACTGCATGGGGTGGGAAATAATTAATTTGGTTGCACTTGTTGCAAGTGAAGATTGGTTGCTTCCTTAAGTATTTTTTTCTATTAGTTCTTTTCTCTCAGCTTCTCTTTATTTGCCTTTTTCTTTGCGCTTCATATTTCTTTTCTATTCTCTTTTACTTTGTATTACTTTTAGCATTGTAAAAATTTTCAATAGATTTTTTTTAAAAAAAAAAGAATTATCTGTCAGTTTTGTGACAACCTTCTTGAAAGAAAGGTTGGCCAGTAGCCAGTGTAGTCCAGTTCATCTATTGCCCTTGCTTGTAGGGCTCTACACCTGAGAACTACAATGATGCATTAACCTCATTTCCATCCAGGTTTTTTTTTTTTGTCACCCTGTACTGACGAATTACTTCAGAGGAGAGGTTCTTCTCTTTGTGAAGATGTCCATGCCCATATTAGTACCCTGAAAAGCAGGAATTTTAAGGAAGGGGGGCAATGATCTGCGGTAGAACACTGGGAAAGAGAGGGACAAGCCCATGACCGCAAGACAAATGCAATTTAACCACAACCCGCCAGCCATATTTTAGTCTAAATGAGCCTCCGAGTTTTAATACACTATGATAACCCACTGCGTTGAGGGAACCATGGTTAACCACGGACAGGACTTCGAAACACAGCTTGCAAACGGGCATCCATTACAGATCCCGATCAGGTGAACTGTTGGCATCTAAAAACGTTGCCAACCTGCTTTTACAGGACAAGACACTCGCGTATATTGCTTAATATTTGTCCAAGGAGGAGTGTTGCTGTACTTTTGCTCGGGGCAATAAATCGGAGTCAGTACTACTAGTGTACCCAAAAGGCAAGTCCACTACCGTGTGGCATTCGCCTTCACTTCAGCCTCCCAGCCGACAAATCAAACGTCACAGAGAGTGGGACTGTCAGGTAATGCCAATGGGGATCAACTCCACAGGTCTTGATGGAGGTATGATGATGGTGGGGTAGAGAAAGAAGGCTTCCAAGAGCGAATTTCGCCCCTAGCTTTCGCTTAGGAGCATTAAATTGAACGCGGTGGTGGTGGGGAGTCCGTCGCCGCCTCTTTTTCAGTTCTTTTATTTTAATCGCACTGCTCCAAACTGATCACGGGCCCAGCATTAAACATATAAAACTCCTACGAGACGGTTCCTATACTGTCTTTACTAGCTGTCGTACAAACGACCCGTTCCATACGTTTAATTTATTTTTTTTCACTGACGACTCCCCGCCCGCCTATCCCTTCACAGGAACGCGAGAGTTAAAAGACAAGCTGGCAACATCCCGCCCACCAGACAGACGGAGAAAGGCCCGGCGTCTTAGCTAAAGCGTGTTTTGCTATTGGCTACCGAACAAGGAAGAAAGCAGCGGGATCAAGTATCGGCGATCCGCCATTGGTGGAGCTGGGGCAGCCGGCGGCTCCTCCGGGCGCTCTTTGGGGGACGACGGTGTTTCGAGTCTTAGCGCGAGAATAAACACGCGCTTGGCTCGGCTCGGAGTGGGCGGTTTGGCAGCGGGCGGGGTCTTTTCCCAGCGCGCCCATTGGCTGGCGGGAGGAGAGCCGCGAGAAGCGGTGGGTGGGTCGGGTGCCCGTAGGCGAAGAGGCTTTCCAGGGCTCGCGGCGGAGGATCGCCGGCCTGTCGGGCGGCCTTGGGAAACAGCGATGGCGCGTTGGCGCCCGTTGGCTGGGTAAGGAGAAGGCGGGCGGGGGCAGGTGGTATGCGTGTGGGGCGGGGGGCGGCTGGGAAAAGCGCGCAAGCAAATGCGCAAGCCGGCGGAGGAGTTGTTGGGCCCGGTTTTCCATGGCAGGATCCGCAGACCGGGCAGTGGGACAGAAGCAAAGAAGGTACAGTATCTATGGGAAAGAAGAAGAGAAATGCGAAGAATATCGGGTGCGCGTACGTGTGTGGGGGGGGGGGTTCCCCTCTTCGCTGATGCCTTCAAGGAAGGGGATCTCCGGGGCGGAGCGCTGGTGTGTGTGTGTGTGAGAGAGAGAGAGAGGGTGCGTGTGTTTGTGGGAGCGTGCAAGCCTGTATGTAAGCGTGCATCTGGAGGGGGGCACATCTGAACCATCTTTGGGCAAGGTCTGATACCAAACAAAGTATTAAGGACCCCACCTATAGATAGGGAATGCATCTTTACCACATTGAGTGCAGGGAGGGCTCCACGCGTTGCTGCTGTTCCGTGGGAAACCGAAGGTATTCTTTACTCTTTTCCTCTGGGGTGATTTCTTTTCTTTTCTTTTCTTTTCTTTTCTTTTCTTTTCTTTTCTTTTCTTTTCTTTTCTTTTCTTTTCTTTTCTTTTCTTTTCGTTTTCAGAATTGAATATTCCGGAGAAGCAGATAAGAGGAAGTACAGCCCAGGCATGCCTTGCATGTCCCGGATAGATCGATAATTGTATCAGTTATCTAGGGTACCTAGAAATCTCCCTTTGGTGCTTAAAAGGTGGAAGTCTGCTGAGCTCCAGGGAGGGGGTGCCTTTGTCCAAACACCTGATCTCAGGTGGAGAGGCCCCTGGAGATCTTGAGAGCTTGAAGCCAGATTCTAACACTTATACCTGTATATAAGATACAGAACTGCTATGGTAATTATAATCCTGAATAGAATTGGGGGGAAAATAAGATGTGGAAATTTTGAGTGGTCATGGTAAATACAATTTTAAATTTATAAAATGACTGCTATAAGTTTGTAGGGCTACTATGGGGCTGTATTGTGTAATATTTTGAATGTAATAAGCAATGTTATTCATGCATTCTAGCCCAATCTGTTTGGCATAGGGTGTGATGGTGATTTATGCACTGCAAAATCAACCAATTCCTTGAAACAATTTGCTTTTATTTGAGAGCAAGTTAATGTTTTGTCATAAAATTCTGCAATGTTACAAAAATTAAATAAATTTAATAATAAGTTTATTGAATTTAACACATTTAATTTTTAATTTAAATGGTAGCAAATACTTTTGGCTCCCTGGATAGATACGTAAGAATTTCTGATCTGATGTAGTTATGTATTTTGTAATTGGAAAATTAATCTTTTGGTCTAAAGTGAATATATTTGGAATAAATTCTGAATCCACTATATGGATTTTTAATCATAGCTATTTCTCGATTTTCACTTTTGTCTCTCAGTTTTTAGTTCTAGTTCTCTATACCTCTTTATCTCTTGATATCTGCAGCATGAAATGATTGCAACAATAATTGGTTAAAATCCTGATATTTTTCAGCAGGGTCCATTCAGACATTAACTGATCAATATCAAGTGTACAGTAATAGATTTTTTTAGAGGTTTTATATACAAGTGTATGTTTTTTTTTACCAAGTGGGCAGTTATTTTATCTCATCATGGAAATACAGAAATAAGATGCTTTGAGTGCATATGGTAGAGAAGTGAATTAATACAGATGCTGAGGCACTATAAATAATCATAAGCCGGATCAGTGTTTCTTTTCAAAGGGGAATTTTCAAAGAAAAATTTGAACAGGGTTTATATAGGTATGTAAAGAAAAAAATAGCTGCATGATTTGGTGAAATAAAGGCTGTATTGCTGATCGAGCAAGAAAATAACCTTTTTTATCTCTATGAAAAAAGCCATAGGCTGGAACGTTTTTGGAGATATTTTTTTTCCTTTTCAGGCAGATTGGACAGTTTTAAAATGTTATGCTTGTCTGTAGGTTACCATTCTTAAATACTGAGATGTGAAAAGTAGCTAAAGCTGTAGTATTTTATTACATAGCTTTAGAATTTTTTAATGAAAGTATGTGCAATGTTATATTCAGACCTCTTAAAACTGCTATTCCCCCCCCCCATCAAATAATGTATCCCAAATATTTGTACCAATTAGTTTTGGGAGAACAAACATACTAATTCTAATTACAGTCATTTGCATGAATGATTTCATCATTCAGATTTTCTATAATACCTTCTAAAATGACATTCCCTTAATTAAAACTTTGGAATTTACATACTGCTTGTGGGTTTCCTAAATCTTTCATAAGTTCAGTTTCATATAAAAAGTATTATCATATAATACTTTTTTATTCCTGATCACTATGTCTCACATACCTATTTCTTTCTCAACCATTCATAGCATTCCTCAATAATCAAATATCATACATGCCATACTACTGGCTTAATCAGAAATAAATCTCATACAGTTTTTCAGTGTATAGTACATATATATGCACACACACACAATTTATATGTATACACACACACCTCCACACCCATTCCTGCTTGGTTCATAACAGTCACATTGGAGAATACAACCATTATTATGGTAGATGGTTTAACTGATAGATAATCAGTGTTAAGAGATTCAGCAGTAGTTCTTAATGTCTTGGAAAAACTGAATGTAAAATACATTATTGTGTTGCTGTAGTTTAATATGAATAATAAATGCATGTCTTAAGCCATTAACATCCAAGGGAGGATGTAGCAAGCGTAAGATAGATACCATCTGTCTGTCATTTTCCATTTCCGTGGTCTTCACAGTCTGTCAGACACAACATGTTTCAAAGGTGTTTTTTTTCTCATTTCTTCCCAATACCATTTTAATTACATTAGTTCTACTGTGTTAGTCTACCTATTACTAAAACAGCAGCCAATTTTGCTTGTAATTTTCTGAACATTCTTATAAAATGAAAGTTTACAGGAAGGAACAGGGATTTTGTTTTTGGAATTTACATCTAGATTTTAGGTCACAAAATTTACTGTTACTAGAACCTGCCAGCATTTATCTGCTAGTAAATTATCAGGAAGTTAAAATCTTGCAAACTGAGGCCAGTGCTATACAATTTTTAAAATTATGCATTATATTCTATTAACTTAGGATACAGCTTTTGTTCAATATTATAAAATATTGGAAGAAGGAATTGCTTCTTTTTCAAACTTTGGAGTTTGTACAGTACTAGCACAGTTTTTTTCTCCAGTCTAGGAAAGAACTGGTTACATTGCTCCTTTAGTTGTAGAATGCATATCTCTTCCATTATAATTCTAGCAAGTGAAAAAATATCTAATAAAATGTGCAGAATTAAACATGTTTTACTATGATGAGATTCTAGTAGGAGAAATACTGTTAAATTAGAATTGTAGAAGAGATGCATTATAAAACATTCTCAGGAGCTCATGGAAAATAGTATATTACTCCATTAAAACAAATACTCTATTTTGCAGGTACTTTGCTGTTGCTGCAGGGAGTATGTTTTACCATTTGCCTTCAACTACTGTTCTGTATAAAATCTATTATAAATGTAATGTTTTTAATGTACATGGTATTTTGCAGAATACCTGATCAGGTCTATTCCTGAAAATTGCTGACAGCCATTAAAAACTGCTCTGAGCTGATTAGAGAAGGTGCAGATTATAAATGGAATTCAATAAATAAAAGATGCTATATGGGACATGCAATTTAAAATTGTAATGACTATTGGGAGAATGGAGGATATAGAGATGATAAATGAGAATATGTATAACTTCATTTACTATGAATCAAACCATATTTGAAAGTGTTGAAAGGGAAAACACAAAAAATGTGAATGGAGCAATTCCAGGTAATAGAAACAAACAATATTCTTGCACAAACTATCTGGTATATAATTATCACATTTTTAAAAAAGTTTGTCATTGAGTTCACACATTGCATTAAATCTTGGTTTGAATAACCATGGTTTGTTTCTATAGAAAAAAGTTAGAACTATTGCCTGACAGTGCTAACCTTGGAGCATGAAAAACTCATGCTGAGGTATTTGAACCTTCAGAAAGTACAAATAATCCATTCCGATGTATCTTAATGTAGTAGTTAATTCAAGTGTTTTATACTGCCATGAATATCTCCAAAGTAAGGTGGCTAATCTACATCATGAGCTGGCACAAGACTGGTATTTGAAATATGCCTTATATAGCTCTCTGCCTAGTTGGAAACAAAATAATAGCCTTCCTATGTTCTGAGAAAAGTGGAAACAAATGGTATCTTTATAAAAATTGGGGTTAAAGTCAGTCAGCTGTATATATTTAGTGTTACACATTCATTTTCTGAAAATCCGTCTGGGGGAGGAACTACTTTTCAATAAGTCCTGATTTGAAAAGTATGTCTTAGAATTAGGCTAACTTATGGGTAACCCCATTGAAATAAATTGTTTTTAAGTAAATTGTAACATATAAAATCAGCAACTTCTGTTCAAGAGACACCTGCTGAATTTACTAATGGTACAAAATTGAATTGTACTTTAATTACAGGAGTACCAGAAGATGTAGTTGCAACAGTGGATCGTTTGGATTGAAGATAATGAATAAAATTAATCAGGAACTGCACTGCTTATCATCTTGTTTTGTGAAAGATTTCCTGTAGCTTTTAATAAGTCACCAGAAAAGGACTACTAATCATCATGAAGTTGAAGCAACGTGTGGTTCTTCTGGCAATTCTACTCGTCATCTTTATTTTCACAAAGGTTTTCCTCATAGACAACTTGGATACATCAGCAGCCAACCGTGAGGACCAGCGCGCCTTCCATCGCATGATGACAAGTCTACGGATTGAATTAGACCCACGACTTGATCACACACTGCAGTCTCCTTGGGAGATTGCAGCCCAGTGGGTGGTGCCACGTGAAGTGTACCCGGAGGAAACGCCAGAATTGGGGGCGGTGATGCATGCTATGGCTACCAAGAAGATCATCAAAGCAGATGTGGGCTATAAGGGCACCCAGTTGAAAGCACTACTTGTGCTGGAAGGTGGACAGAAAGTAGTCTTCAAACCTAAGAGGTAAAGTGCTTCTTCAGTGACAGATAATATAATGTGTACTATTTTTGTTATCTCTTAATGGCTAATAACAGCTTAATGGCGGAATTTGAACGAAGTTGTAGTTTGTGCATAAGTCATAAAGTTTTCACTCATACTTTTCATCAAATCATTCACACAATACACTAATAAATTATAGTATACCTTAGCAAGTAATTTGCATTAGGTTTTTCCAAACAGGAGTGCCTGATCATCGTTCCCTAATAGAAGAGATATGTAGTTAAGATCAGGATAATTAATAGATGTTTGCTGAACACCCATACCATTCCTTCTAAGTAAGAAACATCCCTGAGCTTCTGGTATGGAAGTGTTTCTGATATATTTCCTTTTATATATGGCAGTACAACTAATTGCTAAAAGACTTGGCACTGAGAAAAGTTCTTCAGAGTTACCTTTTTTCTCATTGCTACATTAGGATGAAAAAGAGTGTTTGTTTACTGGAGATTCTTCTGTAATCTGAAATAAAATCCATTTGTCATTTAATCACTTTTCATAATTTGTAGATATCCCAGAGAGTATGTAATAGAAGGAGAGCCATATGCTGGCTATGACAGACATAATGCAGAAGTGGCAGCCTTCCATCTAGACAGGTAAAATTTTGATACTTTGATACAATTTACCTTGCTTACTCATTCAATTTATACCTCACCTTTCTATCCAAAGGGCATTTAAAGTGGCTACAAAATAAAATGTGCTCACTTTGGCAGCACATAGCCAAATTGGCACAGGGAAGATTAGCATGTCCCTGTACAAGGATAATACACTAACAGTAACAGACAAAACATAAAGAATTAAACTTTTATAAAATCAGATAATATAAACTGTAAACCAATTTAAACTTAAAAAGGCCTACCTAAAAAGAAAAGGTGATTCTTCTGCTGAAATAGGGGGTAGAATGTAATTTCAAGAGAGTAAATTCCATGGGAAAAGGTCCAATCCTTTGAGTTCAGGGCCAACTCAAATAGTGAGAGCATCTTTAGGGGGGCGATGCTCAGCAGGTTTATTTCAAGATAATCCCTTAACAGTTAATGCCTACATTCTTAAATTGAGCCCACCAAAAGTTGGCAATCTGTTCAGGTCTTTCAGTACAAATTATCAGTAGAGTACAGATTAGCAATCTGACATATTCTTCACCAATGAATTTAAATTTAAATCAAGTCCAATATTTATTATGGTCAGCCTTATGAAAATCTCTGGTGTTTCAATTTAAGAACTATTGGTCCTTCAATATTGTTACATTTTCCATATATTTCAGAAGCAGGTGAGCTGCCATCACTTTGATGATTTACAACAATTAATAAACAGACAGCCTAAACCCAATCCAAGCCTAAAAGGTTGCATGTCTGGCAGATCTTTTTTTATGAGCCAAGTACACCCAGAAGTCTGGCACATGAATAAGATCACAGTTCAAAGAAGCCAAAAATTTGTATTAACCTCAATTTCTAATTCAGTAAATTTATAGAACCCAAAAGAGAGGAATAAAAATTATTATAAGTTGCAGTGCAAAATAAAACAAAAACATAGATATTACTAAGAAGTTATATTTAAAATTACTTTTAACATTTCAGGAATGTTAAACCTTTGAGGATACTTACTGAATGATTCCTACAGACTTCATAGCTATACTCTATTGTGTTATATGAATTCATATCTTGTTTCATTTTCTTTCTCGTTCAAACAGAATCTTAGGCTTCCGGCGGGCCCCGCTTGTAGTTGGTAGATTCGTGAACCTCCGCACAGAGATCAAGCCTGTTGCCACAGAACAATTGCTTAGTACTTTCATGACTTTAGGTAGGTTAAAAAAACAAATTCTGCAGGCCCAGTCTCTTACAACATTCCTAGATCCTTGGGAAAATACAGTTTGAAGAACACTCACTAGAGATCATACTCTTAACTCAATAGTTCCCTCTCATATGTACAAATTATCTCTTTTTTTCAGTATTAATAATGATACAGAATCTGTACCAATATTAGAGCTAGTAATGATATAGAATTCACACATTTAGATTGCAAATTCCAATTTGAGACTAACATCAGTCTTGACAGAACACCACATGCCCCTTAGCCCTGGTAAGGACAATGTGAAAATACACTTCTCATCTCAAAAGTGGAAAATCACAAGTAAATCAGGACACACAGATTACTTTGATTCCTGAATAAAACTTCCATTGAGGTTGAGTATTTGACATGTTAATACTTCCTCTGATATTTGTATCAGAGTACAAGCAGTCCTTGACATGTCCGTTCGTTTAACAACTGAAAAACATTGACCTATGACCAAGCACAATGGCCCTTGCATTAATAACCATCACAAGATTCTCACGGTCACATGATGCCTCGCTTAACGAGTCAGGTGCTTGGAAACTCTCACATTTTTGACATTTGCATCATACTGGGGACAAGTGATTGCCATTTGCAACTTTCCCAGCCAGCTTCCAACAAGCAAAGTTCATGGGGAAACTGGCAAGGAAAGCCGTAAGTTGTAGTCCCATCTTGCTTAATGGCCATTGTGATTTGTTTAATGACTGTAGCAAAAAAGATTGTAAAATAATGTGTGGTCACATGATGCCTCACTTAATGACAAATTTTCTAGTCCCTTTTGTTGTAAGTTGAAGACTACTTGCAATTAGCCTTTGCTCAATTATTTCAACAGTAAGAGAAGACTGTTTAAATTTTGACATGACTGCTTTTGAATATGAAAATATACCATTTTTGGGCCAAATGCCACAGCAGATAATTTTTCTGAAATATGCATATCTCAGTTAAATACATGCTGTTGCATATGGCCAGATTTTTAGTTATCAGCATTGAAAGGTGCTTCCTTGTTTACTTGAAGCCTGTTTCCAAACTAGTGAAAGAACCGGGGACTGCAAGATAAAATTACCGTACAATCCAACTCTCTTTAGAAATAAACAACCCTCATCAATTAAACATTACTTTCAGGGAGGCAACAACAGATGATGAAAATCATCAAATCAGCCTTTTTAGAACTGATGGTTTCTTAACTGGTCCAAGTTCTTAGAAACTAGAAGTGTTAAATAAGTAGCATCAGGATTTAATTTAGGCCTAAGTTAGCTGCTTTGTTCTAATGTTCGCTTGCTTTCCAGGTAATAATACTTGTTTCTATGGGAAGTGCTATTACTGCCGGGAAACAGAACCAGCCTGTGCTGAAGGAGATTCCATGGAAGGATCACTTACTCTTTGGCTGCCAGATGCATGGCCTCTTCAGAAACATCGGCATCCATGGGGCAGAACATACCGGGAGGGCAAGTTAGCCAGGTATGAAGTTCACGGCAGTCACCTCTTTGCTATTGCAGTTGGTCAATCCAGAGAATGGACTACAATTATAGAGGCAAGAGGAGGTACTCTTATCAACCTTAAATTGCTGGACTGATCATATATGTTGTACCTAGCTAATCGTTAAAAATCAGTTCCTTTTATACGGAAGAATGAAGTCACACTGAGAAACTAGGAGACAAAAGATTTCAAAGATGAATGAGAAATGAAGGTCCTTTTTTGTTTTTTCTTTTATTAACCTTTGCCTTTTCTAAAAACATTTTTTAGGTTTATTGGGCTGGCATGATATAAGACTGGGCCTGGATTTTGAGATGTGTTTTATCTGCTTGAAAATCCCTAAATCCGTTTTCAAAGACAGTTTTCAACAGCAGTAATTCTGCCAATAGAGTTAGCTACGTTTATGAAAAGCACACACACTATTGTGTTAGGAAAGGACAAATCAATTTGTTTCAAATTTGTGTCAGTTTCATTCTGCATTAGTCCATGAGTTGAAGTGTGACATGCAGTACTTAATGAATTCCAATCTGTGTATTGGTTTGGATCAGTTTTAAGTCTGCTTACATCAAAAATCAGTCTTCCAATTTGATCATCCTTTCTTGTTTTGCATTGTTTTCCTGAATATCCATTTTGCCAATCATTATGAACAAATTAAAAGGTGAAAATAAGTGAAGAAATATTTATGTTAAAAGAGAAAATAAAGCTGAAAATGAAGAAGAGACAATTTTGCAAATTTTTTGCTATGGTCTTTTACGAAACAGATTTTGAGATGATTTTATTTTAAATTTAACAGCAGTTCTTTTTTCCAATTCTTTTTTCCAATCTTCCCTTTTGACCCTTGGAAGTTACATAATTGTACTATAAATCTTAGATCAACAGTGCTTGGTTGAGTTTTCTGTTTCTGCTTTCAGATGGGAATATGATGAGAGTTACTGTGATGCTGTAAAGAAGACCTCACCCTATGATTCAGGCCCACGGCTTCTTGACATCATTGATACAGCCATATTTGATTATCTGATTGGGAATGCTGACCGACACCATTATGAAAGTTTTCAGGATGATGAAGGGGCCAGTATGCTTATTCTACTTGACAATGCCAAAAGGTAGGGAAAGTGTTACCTGGCATGCAAGTTCCTTCAGTAAAATAATTGCTACTAGATTACAATTGGTTTATCATAATTGCTTGCAGTGTTAAGGTTGTCCAAAAGTTTGACCTGGTTTGAAAGCTAACTGAAATATCAGGAATTCCTTATATGTTTCAAATTCTTATTTATGGGAAAGAATGACTATGGAGTGCAGACTTTTCCAGAGTGAAATTACCCCTCCCCCATTTTGTATCTGTTTTTCAGTTTTGGAAATCCTTCCCTGGATGAGAGAAGCATTCTTGCACCTCTTTATCAGTGCTGCATGTGAGTAAAAAATAAAGAGTTATCGACTTATTTGAATATTATCTTAAAAGCAATATTGATAGTATTTAATGTGCTTGAGTTCTTTTGTTTGATGATTAGTCCAAGGCAACTTCAGAATTTAAGAAAATATTTTAGAATGATAAATACACAATTACATGTTTTTAGAATCTAAATGAGAGCCTATGTGTTAACATATCATTCTCTAAACTTTTGGAACAACTAGCCATTTAAAGAAAGAGAAGGCTAGCATTAAAATTAATGCTGGAGAAATTCATTCCCTCCAACCTTTGCAACTTTTTTGTTGAGAAAGTGTCAACATTTTCAGGTATCAGGATTTTGCTGGCTTGCAGCTGCTTTTCTTATAATGCATGTAATAATTAAGTTCTCGGGTCCTTGTAAAGGAAAATTATTTCAAGGATACAGGAACAAAAGCTTGCAGGTCATGTCATGAACTGAGGATGACAGAGATTTCCTTTGTTGGAAAAAGTAAAACTTCTGTTAATATCCACAATATCATTCTTTATATTCATAGTTTTGCAACGGCTTTACAAAATACTAGACTTAATAATTCATATCCAGGGTAGCTAATTGATTTCGTATGCAACTTCCCACTTAGATTCTCATCTATTCCCACTTCCCTGGGAGTAATGTGAGAATGTTACTTTTGATTAAATATAGGTGTATAAATTGTACTTTAAAAATTTTTTTCGGTAATGTCACTGTAGTTCATAGCTCTGAATAAGAAAATCCTGCGATAATTTTTTGGGGGGAAGACTTCTTCATTGTAATGTTGTAAATTGTGATATACTGTGTTTATTTCAATGTGTATTTCAGTGTAGTGGCATTTATATAATACAATTAAGAAATAACATTCCATTAGTTAAAAAGCTTAAAAGTATTGAAAATACTTTGGGAAAACTTCTGACGATTTGGACTTTCAGGATAAACTCAGGTTTGTTACACTCCCATGTTTTTCTTTTGCAGTATCAGAGTTTCTACATGGAACAGGTTGAACTATATAAAGAATGGAGTCTTGAAATCTGCCTTAAAAACTGCTATGTCTCATGACCCTATTGCACCTGTGCTGTCTGCCTCCCATATGGATGCCCTGGACCTACGACTTCTGAATATCTTGGCTACAATAAAGCAATGTACAGATCAATTTGGGCCAGACATTGTATTGGTGGAAGATAGAATGACACTTTCCCATTTGTAGCTTTAAGAGAAACTGATGGGGATTATTTTTTAAAGTAATAAATAGAAAACAGCACAACTGGTTCTGCATGGTAATGGGCAGGATAAACTGGAATTAAATGACAGGATTTCTGCATCAGAAGAGAAACAATTGTAGTTTGAAACTCTGTTGAAGACAAGAAAGTTCCTCTCGGGTAGCCCTGTATCTTCTTTTTGGATTCCATTGCTGGCAGTGGATGTTGCACTGAGAGCTCTCCTGGGATTGCCTGTGACGAGATGGGTATTGGGACACGAATACATGCTTGGTCCAGAAAAGATCTTATTCTCCTAACCGATTCCAAGTACAATCTTAGTATTTTAGTCTTATTCGGGGTTTTAAAGAATACACTATCTAGGCATCCATTCTGGCCATTTAAAAAAAAAAAAAGAGTGATGGAGGGGTAGGGCAGATGTGATATTGAAGAGATTTACTGCCTCTCCTGATCGAAATACATCCATGCATCTATTGCTGAAATTTTCTAAAGGACTTCATAAGGGAATGTATAATTGTGTTCGGTGTTCTGTTAAATACAAAACTGTTGAAGGACTGTTTTAGAATACTGTTGAAACCTCTTGTCCATCTACAAGGCTAAAATTACTCAGGCCTGCACAATGCTGCGAAGTCCTAACCAGAGATTTTTGTGCAAATCGTTATGTTCTCAAATGTAAAGGTTCTTGCTGTCTTGAACCCAACAGTTCTCCTAAAAAGTGGAGCTTGAGCCAGTACTTTATGTCCTGTCAGTGCTGTAGATTTCAAAAAAACAAAAAACAAATGAGATTTGTTGCTAAACTTCTGATCTAAACTAAAAATCTAAGAAGATGTGACGAATGCTTGCGGAAGGAAAACAGTGTTTTATCCACTACTGTAAGGCAGTGGCGGGTGCTAGGCTGTCAGGTATTCAGGATAGTCTGCCATTTTCAAGGCCTGAGCTGAACTAAAAATATTTTTAGATGCATATCTTTTCTTTCTGTTTGATCCAAGTTGTGATTCCATGGCTTTGTGACCATTAGCCGGAATTGTAATTTGTGTTTCTAGCTTCAGGAAATTTATGTATCTTGATTTTTGATTCATGCACCTGATAGTCCTGCCAAAGATATTGGAGGGAAATGTGTGGAAAAGAGTTCTGTATGTTCACTCCAATGTTTAATGCCCTGAACTATTGTTCACCAACTTGTATTGGAAACCTCAGAGATTTTCTATGATAGTTAATGTTTCTGATAGCTATATCCTGGATGTCACTTAACAGGAATTTAAAGACAAGGTCCAGATGTTTATCAGTTAATTATAATAGTTTTTAAAATTAGTTTGGACATGCTTCCTTTTTTGGAAATAGACCCTAATGTCGATAGATACAAAAAGTAGCATTGTGTTTGCATCTGTTTCGATAATTTTAATTACACTACAGCATTTTTAATTACTGTGCCAGTAATAGTCTTAAGATGGTTGCCTAAACTATAGGTTTGCTTAATGCTAAATCCTATTGATAATGTTATGCCTACTTTAACAAAAAGATTTTTCAACGTAGGTTGATTTTTGTCAGGCTGATTCAGCTACATCATGTCTCAAATTACAATAACAGTAACTTGATAATGGTTAATAGTTGCTATTATGAAGGTCACCAGCTTCAGACTTTTTATCAAATACCACCCAATCATGTCAGTAGCTGAGTTTTTTGTAGATGCATGGTAAGTGTGCAATCACAATGAACCTGCACCTGGCAGGTGCTGTTTAGGGAGGAAAACATCTTGCTGATTGAGAAAGTCCAAATAACTTCATGTTTCCTTTATATGCTATTTTAAGGATAAAGAAAGTGGGGGAAGAGACATCCTGTGCTTGAACAGACAAGTAGGCTATCTTGCATTTGAAGAACTGGAACTGTTGCTAAAAAAAGAAAAATAATTTATTAAGAAGTAACTTATTCATGTGGCAGCTGAAACAAAACGTTCACCTTGAAGCTGCCAGAGACTTGCCTTTTGGAGTGGTTATGAGTAGAAGCTGTTGGGAAAAGGGGAAATGAATCTCAGTTTTGCATTTCCCAAGGATCAGGCTATGCATAGATAAATATTATGTGAATAAAGATTTTAATAACATGAGCTGCTTATTCTCTGAAAGAAAATTTTTGATAAGAGATAAATTCTGATATAATTATTATGTCCCATTTCTAATGGGAGTTTACATCCTCAGTATCATCTGATAAGGATTGTGAAGAACTAAATTTGTGTTTTAAGCAAGTGTTTTAGGCATGTTAACAAGAATGGGGCTGCACTGGATCTCCCAACCACATGGACTTACTGTATTATTCATCAACCTTACCTCATCCTTCTGTTGCTACTCCTGGTCCTATCTAAAGGGCATGACTTTGGCTAGGGTTAGCTCAGGGGACACTAGCTGGGGTTGTAAAGATCTGGGCTCTTGCAGGGCCTCTTTAAGATCCTCTGACCAATTCAAAACAGACTGGAAAGAATTACATCATTTTGCCCCCAGCTTGCATGACAATCTCACTCTCTTCATCTGGCCTCAAATACTTATTAATTTGGTCTTTTCCGAGTTGTTAAAAAAACCCCCTCTAAATTAGGAATAATCTGTATATCTCTAGTAAACACCATATATATCTCTTTCTAGTAAACACATTTTTTTCCTTCCTAAGTAGTTTTGATCACACCTACTTTTAAAGTGCTTAAGAGAGGACACACAAGCACCATTGAGACAAAATTGTAGATGGGAAGATTCACAAAAAATGGGTGAAATTGGCAAAATGGGTTTTAATTCGTAAATATCTTGAAAACACTACCATATATCTGTGTAGAAAAAGGCAGTGTATTCATTAGTTATTTATAAAATTTATATGCTGTCCATCTTACCTCAAGGTAAATGTTAAGGTCACCACAGCCAGCCATCCTTAGTTTCTACAATACATTTTGAATTAAACATCTTGCAGAGAGTAGCCATCACAAGAGTCCTTAAATCTTAGCCATCTGGGGAGTGACAATTCCTAATAATGAGTGGATCAATTTATGATATATTTACAATGAACAGCTCTTAGCTTTGTTGAGTTAGGATTGCATAGTACATAAAGTCACACCTATTGCTTCAATGTCTGAAAGGAATGCTGCTGTTGGTGAATAATCAAAGATGTTGGGATTTAAACTTGAAATCAATGAATACACTTGAGTCTGATTTGAGTGGCCTGTGTGCAAAGGGTGTGTAACTGTGTAACACAGTGGCCCCCAACCTTTTTTGTGCCACGGCCCGGTACCGGCATCACAAAATGATCCGCGGCCTGGTACCGGCATCAGCACGCATGACAAGGCAAGGTGAGCCGAGTGACCGGCCAGCCAGCCGTCCCCCGCTTCTCCCCGCCACCTTCAACTCCTCCTTTGAACCTTTGTCGATGGGCTTCGCTTCGGGACAGTCGCTCGGCTCGCCTTGCCTTGGGTGCTGAAAGAATCCTCGTGCCTTAGTTTCGTTTGAACCCACCCCCCTTCGATGAAACAAAGGCGTGAGGATTCCTTCAGGACCCAAATGTCGCTTTCCAACCGGAAAAGCTCACCCGGAAGCACTTTCTTGTCAAACAAGATGGTGGTGGCCCAGCAAACTGGCGGCCCGGTGGTTGGGGACCCCTGGTGTAACATACTATCAGCCTGTAGGAGAGAGAACCGAAGCACATCAGGTCCATCAACTGCTTTTGTTCCTTCTAGTGTTCTCTCAGAATTCTTTCCAAATAATAGCTTCTAATAAGAACTCTTTGCTTTAAAAACTAGCCTTTCCCTTTTTGCCAGAAATTTTAGATTGTAAACTAGAAAAATGGAGGTGGTTTTTTTTTTTTTAAATTGTTCTCTAAGCTGCTTTGGCAGATTTTCAGTCATCCAACATCAAAGTAAGGTCTCTCATTCCGGTTCTTTTCATGCTACTTGGAAGAAACTTCCTGTTAATGAACAATTTACTGATAGGTGACTAAACAGTAGGTTTCACTAGAAACTGAATTATCTGCAGCAGCTTGAATGTAGTAAATCTGGCTGAAACCATAATTGTCAATATTACAAGATAAAATGTCAACAAGTTTGAAATTCAATAGAATTCTACTGCCTTACCTAGTAAATGATCCTGAATTTTTTTTAAAAAAATAGGCTGATTAGTTTGTTTTTTTAATAGTTTTACTGAGTTTTAACAAAACAAATAAAACATCTTATTTGAGTACAGCATCGTTCTGGGTTATCACATTTCCATACAGACACAATTTCATATGCATATTCATCTTATGTATTCAACTTCATATCTTATTACTCTTTCCATCTTCTCACTCTTTCTCCCTTTACTTCTCTTAATTTTCTTTTATGGTTATCTCATTTTCTTCTTATTCAATTGTATTTCTTTTACCTAAATTTCTGTATCTTTTTATTCATTGTACTTATACTTTTGTCTGTCTTGTTTACAATTTCTTATGTTCTCTTCCAACATTCTTAAGAAGCAAAATTCCCCCTATGATTGCCAGTCGAAGTGCAACACCTTTAAATCTTATTGTTATTATCATATGAAATCTCATTAAACATTGAATGTGTGCATTCCAAAATTATAACATTCAAATTTCTAATATCTATTTTATTTCATGTAGATCTCATCATTCAGATTCTGCTTGGTACTTCCCCTTGAAAATGTAAAAAGAAAAATTCTAAAAACAGCAATATA